AATGGAGGAGAAGGATCAAATATTAGCATGTGGAGGGGAAAATATTCATGGTCAAACAGAGTAAGAACTTGGAGGGAAGAACTGGCTTCCGATCTGCATGCCTCTCTCTGTGAACTGATTTCTCCTCTCCTGGCCTCAGTTTATATATCTACAAAACAAGGGGGTGGGACTAGATGACTTCTGGAGCCCCCTTCCTGCTGATATACAACATAACTGACCAAACATTCTCTTATAAGCCTTTCGCAATGTGCTAGAAGAGGTTGTGGTTCCTACTTTAAGACATTTCGGGGGGGGAGGGGCACAGGAAACTCAGGCACGGAGAGGCTACCTCCTCACCCCACTTCAATGGGCGTGAGGACAGTGGTTTTCGGAGAAGCAGGACTCTTATTTCAGTCTTCCTGGGGGCCAAGCCTTATCTATCAGCTCTTCTTTTACTGGCTCTGACACAAAGATGGAATGCAGAGGGTCAGATACATGCAAAATAAAAAACCCACTGCTAACACCGTCATGAGCGTTTAGCTGTCACGGGACATACTTCTGGCTGCCAAGTTTGCCTCCAGGAGTTTTCAGCCATGAGATCCTGATGCCATCTCTGTGGAAGAGCTGACTGTGGACAAGGTGCAATTAGCAAGCTTAGATGGTTATCTTTCAAACAGGCCTTTGCTTTTTCATTCCTGTTCCATTAGTTTTTATCGTGTCACCGGAGCCAGCAGATTACAAGCTGAACATCCTTAGACTACAGCCTGAGAGAAGGCATTTGAGTTTGAACATATCTCTAAGTAGTGGCCTCCTCACAAGTTAAATATGGAAGCTTGTTTAAACACACTGCTACTATCCAGGCCTTTCCAGTACATGCTTCCAGACAAACTCACAGAACTCCAGGATGTTAGAGTTGAAAAAGTCCTAACAGTATCTATTCCCCTACATTGCATTTGGGTTTCAACATGCCATTGACGCCACTTGAGTAGCAGTGTTGACAAACAGTCTGAGGCCAAGTCTGGGTTTAATGGGAAAGAGATCGCTTAGCAATGTCTGCCTTGGCCAGGAGAGGGGAAGCACCATTATAACACACAATGACCTTTTCCCCTTCTGAATCTAAGCCCTTACTTCACAGATGAGGAATCCAAGCCCAGAGAGGTTAAACCACTTTCCTAAGGTCACACAGTAAGTTTAAGGAAGGAGAGAGAACTAGAACCCAGGCCTCTCTTTCAAGGCCTTCCTCAGCTGGGCTCCTAGAGAGATTGCAAGCCCAGGATAAGAGAAAGCAAGTGGGGAGCAAGATTTGTTCAAGTAAATCAACAACCCTTCCCCTGTGGCATCAGGTTTCAGCCTGGCACCAGGCAGAGAAGTGATTAGCCATCTACAGGATCCCAGCCAGCCCCTCTGTGGGAATTTAAGGAAATCATTCCAAGGCTACATTTCTATGGTACTTAACTTTCCAATTGCTAAGGCTCTGCCACCAGGAAGACAAACAAAGGGGGAAAAGGCATTAATTTCTGGGTGTTTTAGGAGTAAAGTTCACAATGAAAAATAAAGATACAGTGAGTAAAAACTCTTGATACTTGAAACTTTAAGTCACTGGTATTCCATTAACCCACCAGTTTCTATCTCATAGTCGCTAGTATCCAATGAAGTCATTTCTCACAAGAGATTATGGCTCAGAAATAGGGAGGAACTGCATTGTATTTCCCAGTATGGGTTTTTCATGGCCAGTTCCCAAGTCCGGAATATGAAACAGACTGGAGAATCAAACCAAGATGTTAAGCAGATGGGGGCGAGGAATGAGAGGGAACCCCAAATTAAAATGAAGATGGCTTCAAGACTGGCTTTTCTTGCTTGGTATTGCAGCTTTCACAGCAGCCAGCTGAGCTGTCTGACCAGATGGATTTGGAAATCCTAAAAGCATTCTGTGTCCTTTATAAATCAGCTGCCCTACCCAGCACCCTCTGGAGCCAGTGTGACAGTTGTATAGACTTAAGTTCTAGCAGATGATAAATGCTCTTAATTTAAAACTCTGTATTCTTCAATCCAGTGGAGAAATCAAGGAGTTAAAGGACCGCTCAAACAACAGTGCATTTGTTACCCTCAAAGAAACTTCTCTCACACCCACAAGGAATATATTTTTCATTTGGATAAAGTCCTGTCAGACTTCCCTCCATAGCCTCTGCAGTTATTTCTTCCGGAAAGATCAACGAGGTGCCCTGAGATCACGCTCAACCATTACAGGAGTGACAGGCTGAGCTCAGAACTGGTCAACCCTGTCGAAAAGAACCTCCGTGTGCTCAAGAGGCCAGATCTCCCAGACAGCGGCCTGGCGCGTTCCGTGCACATCCCGGTACTCTGGGATGAGGGGCAGAGCACCGTCCCTGTGAGAAGTCAGCCTCTTCCCTCAAGGCCAGCTGACATTCAAACACAGGACCGGGGGCCAAGCCCAGCGCTGTGCATCTGCAGGAGAGCGGAACAAATAGGGGACTGTGTGGAAATTTGGCAGCGTGTTCCTGAAAGGCAGAGGATGAATGCAGAATCCTATAGCACCTAGAAGAGCTTGTCATTGGGGAAACAGCTCCATTCTCCTGCTCCCAGGGAGCCAAGGCATTTCCTTTAAAGAAAGGATAATCAGTTGGCACCCGCTACCACCACCACCAGACCCCATTCACCACTTCCTCCTCCTCCTCCTCCTCCTCCTCCTCCTCCTCCTCGTCTTCATGATATTGCAGAGCAAAAGAAATGAATGAGAACTAGACCTTCCCAGATGTGCTTGTCTGTCCATTTCAGTTAAGGGCTCTGAGCAGCGCCCAGCTGTTGCTTCCCCCTCTCTCTGCCCAAAAGGCTGCCTTCCTCCATCAATTCCCTGATGCACAAGTGAGTAATTTACTTTGAAAGTTCAGGCCAAACTGGCAGTTAACCTTGACCTTCTCTACACATCTGGGACTATAGAAAATGAGAATCAGGATGTCTGCCATCCACAGCAAATGAAATACGAGGGCTTTCTCCAGGCAGAGGCAGAATGTTATGAGCTATTTTAGAACCGGCCAGAGCTATTCCAAAGGAGAGTTTGCACTTGGGCAGGGCACTCCCCCCATGACCCGGGGCTAAGTCCAGTATGGTGCCCCCACAGCTAAGGATGCTAGCTACAAGGGGCTCCTGCCACAGGGAAAAAAAGTGGTCAATGTACTCCTCATTGATTCATTGACGGTACTACAGAATGGTGGAGCTAGACCAATAACCACATTTTACATAAGGAGGAAGGGAGGCTCAGAGATGGACCTGAGAGGTGATCAAGGACATACACAGCAAGTTAATGGTAGGGCTGAGGCTAGAAGCCTGACCTCCTATCCCTGGCCCAGGACGGGAAGAGAAGAAAGAATTCACGAAGCAAACACCCACAGGAATACAGAATTTAAGGGAGAGGGGTCTAAGTTGGCTGTCAGGGTTTGTGCCAGGGATTTAGGAAAGGAGTTAGGGCCCTTCGTGTCCCAACAGTAAGCTCTACCAGAAAGATCAACCAGGCCCTGCAGGATGGTTTACAACAATTACCAAGCGACAGGCTACACTCAAAATTGGCCAGTTCTGTTGCAAAGAGCCCCGCTCAAGATGCCACTCTCACTACCCAGACAGCAGCCTGATACTGGGAAGCGAAAGGGAAACCATCAGCTTCAAAAGTCAGCTTCTTCACTCATCCTGCCAACAACCAGTCAAACTTGACCCTGCTGCACAAATCATCCGCTTCCCATGGAACAAGGAAATCCCTTCACAAACCTGAAATATCCCACTGTGTGAAACATTTGTCAAGCATGCATTCGCTCACTGTCAGCTACTGAGTCAGGGGCTGGAAGGCTTGGAGCAAACTGACAGGGCTTCTGCTATCAGTCTAAAGTATGTGTGACACACACACACACACACACACACACACACACACGCATACATGGGTAAGTTCAGAGGAGGCAGAACAATTAAAATCCTAGTCTATGCTGCAGGAAACACCACACCTGATTAGCCTGAACAAGTTCTGAGGGGTCATGGTACTCTGAGAAGGGACAAGGAAGGCAGATGATATTCCATCTTCTGGGCACCGGGCACAAATAGCCTCTGGGAAATTTTGGGGATCTCGCTACCAGAGCCCCCACTTCTGGACCCTCAGAAGGTCGAAAAAACAGCAGGCCCCTCAAGGACCAGGAGCTCACCCCCTTCCCCATCCTAGGGGCTGAAGCTCCCAGGGGAGCATGATCTTTGCATCCTCCGAGGAACCCACAGGATCTGGAGGGAGGATGAGCAAATAGGGAGAGGTGGGAGGCCCACCTCCTAACAGATGGGAACACAGGAAAGGGGCTGACCTGAGTAGGGAACACCGAGATCAGCAGGTGGGGGGAGATTAGAAAAGACCAGGACAACATCTAGAACAGCGGTTCTCAACCTGTGGGTCGCGACCCCTTTGGCGGTCGAACGACCCTTTCACAGGGGTCGCCTAAGACCATCCTGCATATCAGATAAAATTTACATTACGATTCATAACAGTAGCAACATTACAGTTATGAAGTAGCAATGAAAATAATTTTATGGTTGGGTCACAACATGAGGAACTGTATTTAAAGGGCCAGAAGGTTGAGAACCACTGATCTAGAAGTCCCGGGATCTCCAGGAGTGATCCTGGGATGCGGCATGCCGACAGGATCCTCCAAAAGAGAGATGCTGGAAGGGGCGAGGTGGTACCCACACATGGGCAGAAAGAAGGACGGGAACCTACGGTAAGACCCAGACGTCCAGACTGGGCATCAGGATTCCTGGTTTCCAGTTCTGGTTCTGCCTCTGACGGGCGCGGGGTCCTGGACAAGTCCCTGTCCTTCTCTGAACCTCAATCTCCCATCCAAAAAAATGGAAAGAAGAGAAGTGTCTCCGGCGCTGACGCTGAGAAGGCAGCGGAAGGCGAAGGAAGGAACCGAAAGCTAGAAGTAAATTAGGGGAGAAAGTGTTCCCAACCCCCAAACATCTGGAGGACTCACCTGTCCGGCCGCCGGGGCCACCGCAGCCCCAGGTCCCCCGGAGGTGCTGTCGGGCTGCCGTTCGCGGTACAGCGCCCAGAGCCCCACGTTGGGCAGAAGGACCAGGGCCGCCAGCACCAGCGCCACCGCCTGCAGAAGCCGCTTCTCCTTCCGCCTCATCGGGGCCGGTCAGCCCCGCCGCGTCCCGCCGGTCCCGCCGGTCCCGCCGCGCGGCCCCCAGCTCCGAGCGTCAGCCCGCCCGCCCGCCCGCCCGCCCGGCGGCAGCAGCTCGGCGAGGAGAAGCGGCCACGGCGCCGGCCCCGCTCCAACTCCGCGGCACTTCCGCTGCTCGCCAGCCGGGGAGCCGGGCGGGGCCACCGCGCCGCCGCCGGGGGGGGGGGTCGCCGCCGGCCCCACCGGTCCCGAGCCCCGGCGACCCGCTCGCTCCGCGCCGACCTCCGATAGATCGGCTGCCGAACACCGTGTGCCGGAGCAGAAACCTTCTTGCGGCTCTTCCTGGTCCGCCCGGGCGCCGCGGGGACCGAGCGCAGACCGCTCCCCCCTCTCGGCCGCGATGGTGCGGTCCGCTCCTCGGCGGGCCCCCCGCCCTCAGGAGGTTTGCTAAAGTCCCGGAGTTGGGGAGTTGGGCGCTAACTGGTGCGGGGAGGCTTCTGAGCGTCTTCGCGCGCTGGGACGCGCTGGATCCACAGCCCGGCCCGGCAACCTCCGCTCCGCATTCCCGAGGACACGCCGCGGGCTCCGCGGGGATGTGCGGGTTGTGCTGGAGCCCGGCGGGATGCTCCACTCCCGCGGCCCCGGGAGCTGGGGCTCCCCACCCACCTCGGCTCGGCTCCGAGAGAGAACCTGCGGACTTACTGTGACCCGGGGACCCTGTGTTCCCAGGCCACACCTGTGAAATGGGGCGACACCCGTGCCTCACGCGCACTGTTTTGCCGGCGGACCCTCGTTTTTCTTCCTTTCGGAGCTCCTGTCGTTAGGTGTGAACGCCTTGTGTCAACTGGAGTGCTGTGCCCGCCTGCCACCTGTCTGTTGACCCTGCAAACCGGCGGGGAGGCGACCGGCGTTTCTCTGCAGGACCTTTTACCATGAAAGCTCAACCTCCTTGGGGTTGGAATGCCCTCCAGTCCCACGTGTACTAGTAGGCAATCAGCTCATGAAGCCCTTTATTGAAACCTCTTGTCGGTCTCTGGCTCGGGTTAGCTCCTCAGCAAACCCTTAGCGAACGCCTACTGTGTACCGGACACTGTGCCAGGCACAGGGATGAAATGAAAACAGACTCGAGCCCCCACATCTGGGAGCTGAAACATCAGATACATAATCGCATCAGACGGCGGAGTGTGTCTGGACCGTGGGGAGGGCTCTGAGCGAGTCTGGCCCTCTGGGCACTGCGGAGGGCCACGGAGCTGGGTGGTGATGCCTGTGACCGGCTCCTCAGTGCTCTTCACGGAGTTTCCTCTGATGCCCATGGACCACGCGCCCTCTTGGTTGCCTTCCTCTTTTCCACCCCAAAGCGTCCTCTTGATTCTCTCCACCTCCAGCCCAGCCGCTGCCTAGCAGCCCCAGACTTGGACCAGTGTCCTGTTGACTCCTGCTTCCCAGTTCTTCCTGCTCCAGGCGATTCTGTTTTCTGAAATCAAAGCTTACAGATTTCGACATCTGCTACAGAACCTTCAAAGCTCCCATCACTTTGGCTCTAGAGCCCACACTGTGGCCTGCTAGGGCAGATCAAACATCCTTTCCTCCTCTCTGCCCTGACCAATTGCTGGCTGTTTTCTTTGACCACTTAGTTCCTTCTACCCAGAAAGCCCTCCTCTTCCCCATGTATGTCGGTAGAAATCTTGTGCATCTTTCCATGTCCAGTTGAACTGCCATCTCCTCCATGAAGTCCTCCAAAAGTCCTCAGGGGGCTGCTGTCTTTCTTTGGATTTCTGTCACAGTAATGCTTACCTTTTATTGAATGCTACGTCAGGCACCATGTTAAACCCTTGACATGCATCACCTCTTTTAATGTTCACAGCTTCCCTGTGATATAAATGCTTTTCTTATCATCATTTGCAAATGAGACTCAGAATGAAGAAAAGTAAAAGCCAGAGTGATCCCGTTTTAACAAAGTTCAGATAGCATCACCCCTCAGCTAAAATTGCTTCAGTGGCTCCCCGCCTCCCCCTGCATTTCTATAAAGAATGACAAGATCCTACAAGGCTAGACATGAATAGCCCTCACCCTTTACTCTCTTCATTATGCCCCAACCCATTGGCCTTCTTGGTATTAATCAGAGAACATCAGGCACATTCCCCATTCCCACCTCTGGGTCTTTGCACTTGCTATTACATCTGCCTAGACTGCTCACTCTTCTATCCCTAGATCCTTACCTAATGCCTTTTAAAAATATTTGTCTTATTGTAATAACATATGCATAATATAAAATTTACCATTTGAGCCATTCAGTGGCATTAAGTACATTCACATTATTGTGCAGCCATCACCACTACCCATCTCCAGAACTTTTTCACCTTCCTAAACAGAAATTCTGTACCCATTAAACACTAATTCCCCATTTCCTCCTTTCAAACCCTGGTAACCATCATTCTACTTTCTGTTTCTATGAATTTGACCATTCTAGGTACTTCATATAAGTGGAATCATACAATATTTGTCCGTTTCTGTTTGGTTTATTTCACTTAGCATAATGTTTTCAAGGATCATCCATGTTGTAGCATGTATCAGAACTTCACCCCCTTTTAAGACTGAATAATATTCGTGTGTAAGTATATACCACAGTTTTTTTTTTTTTTATCCATTCATCCATTCATGGATATTTGAACTATTTACATCTTTTGGCTATTGTGAAGAATGCTGTTATAACACCCCCTTTTTAAACACTACAGTTGATACACAGTATTTATGTAATTGAATTTCCATCCTGTCTCTGACAAAAGTGAAAGTTCCTAGAGGGAAAGATAATGTTGCAGAATTCTTTCACGTGCCTCCATATCAGGAGCACAATGCTAGAAACAGAGTAGCTAGGATGATCCTTTTATAAACATGAAGCTCACTCTGATCCTGGGAATTCACGTGTGACTTCCCTTTATGTTACATTAACCTATGAGCATCCTTGCCACAGGCCACGGGGCTCTACATCAGTGGTTCTCAACCTTCCTAGTGCCACAGCCCTTTAATACAGTTCCTCATGTTGTGGTGACCCCCAACCATAAAATTATTTTCGTTGCTACTTCATAACTGTAATTTTGCTACTGTTATGAATCGTAATGTAAATATCTGATATGCAGGATGTATTTTCATTGTTACAAATTGAACATAATTAAAGCATAGTGATTAATCATAAAAACAATATGTAATTATGTATGTGTTTTCCGATGGTCTTAGGTGACCCCTGTGCAAGGGTCGTTTGACCCCCAAAGGGGTCGCGACCCACAGGTTGAGAACCGCTGCTCTAAACCTTTGCCTGGTTCTCTCCCTTCCATCTTTCAGCTACCAAATCAAATGTCCTGCTTCAGAGAGTGCTTCCCTAGCCAACTCATCTAAAATATCAATGAGTGTCCCCATCACCACCACCTGCTTGATTTTTCTTCAGAACAGGTATCATTTTGGTTTCCTCCTCTAGATTGTGAGCTCCAAGCAAGGGGGAACTTTGTAATCTTTTTGTCCTGTAGAGTATTGTCCTGCCTCTGCTAGCACAGATTTCCTTTTATTTTTCAAATTAGAAAACCCATGCTCCTTCCAGGCAGAGGAAATTGCCAAAAGGGTGACCCCTCTCCCTGGGCCAGAGCAGCAGGCGCTAAGCCAGGGCACATGGATTTCAGCTCATACTCCTGCTCAACTACAAGAAACTAAGCCCGGCCCCCATCCCAGGCCTGGAACACAATAGATGCTCAGTAATTAATGGTTGAGTGAAGTGTAGCAGCTGAGATTATACACAAGAAAACCTTCCATGTCTCTCTCCTCTCCATCCTTTCTTCCAGCTCCCTAGAGGATTCTGTGTAAAATTGGATTTGAGCTTTTCCTGGTGTCTTACTGAGTGATTTGTTAATCAAAGCTGGTCGGCCTGGTCGGCCCCCCAGTGGAAACTCTAACCCATTAGCCCAGCTTTCATCCTGGACTCTGATCTCTTACAATGTGGGATGCTAGGGGGAGGAAACTCCTGGGGCTTTATCCCACTCACTGAGGCAATGCCATTTGAGACATGCGGGCAGACCATTAGCTCCGGCTGTTTCTCTAGGAAAACTGATCTGGTCATCGACTGAATTAAACAAGAAATGTTACTTTCAGACTGAGCCGTCCTGGCCTATGGTGAGCCTTAAATGAGATAATGTGCATTAAGGGCACACTGCAGATGTGGGCCTAATGAAACTAGTAACTATGGCCAAAATGGAAGTCAAACACCAAGAGGAATGCTGAGGAGGGATAAACAAGCTTTCAGCTGCTTGGGCTGTGGCCTGGGTTTGGGTTTTTGCCCTCCAACCTCATGTATCACCCTCCTGTCACTCGCTCCAAATCAGCCACTTGCACTTCCTGGTCCTTGATGGCACTATGTTCAGTCCAGCCCCAAGACTTTTGCATTAGCCCTTGTCTGGACCAGGAACGCTGTTTGTCTGGCTCTTCCCCCATTGGTTGCTCCCTCTTGGCCTTCAAATCTCAGCTTAATTATCACCTCCTCACAGAGACCTTCCCTGACTGCCCAGCTGCAGTGCTCTCTCCATACTTTTATTTTCTTTAAACTTTATTTTGTGTGGGTGTCAGGCATACAGCTTACTCACTAAGCCTTAGTGGTTAGACAATTATATACTTTACATAGTGATCCTCTCGATATTTCCAGTAGCCCAACTGATACCATAGTTACCGCAATATTATTGACTATATTCCCTATGCTGTACTTAGTCACCATGACTATTTTGTAATTATCAATTTGGGCCTTTTAATCCCTTCACCTCGGTCCCCCAGTCCCCCAGGCCCCTTCCTTCTGGCAACCACCAGTTTGCTCTCTGTGTCTATGAATCTGTTTCAGTTTTGTTTGTTTTGTTCTTTAGATTCCACATATGAGTGACATCATACTTTACCTTTTCTATGTAGTCTTCACAGTGCATCTTCCTCTTGGCTAAAATCTTATATATTTGCTTATTTACTTGTTTTCATGGTAC